CGCCTTCGCCAGAGCTTCTCGCCGGCCGCCGCTCCGCCCTCGTCGCTCAGCCGCCGCGCGCCTGCCGCTGCTTCGCCCGAGCGCCGCCCCGCGCGAGCTCGTCGTCGTCGGCGCCCTGCTCCGGCTGGATCCGCCGGCCCCTCCTCCCCCGACCACACCGCCATCGTCTACCTCTTCTCCGGCGCAAGTCCGGCGAACCTCGATCTGCGTGCGCCCTGGGTCAAACCCTAGATCTGAGGTTGACCCTGAAATTTCCCCAAGTCCTTTTCCTCTACTACTTTTTATGCCCTCTTCATCATGCGATAACTTCACGACTGTTGCTCCATTTTGTGCGCATGGTATATCAAAATGTTCATCATGATGTGCTCTTCATTTTATTCCATTGTGGCATGCTTGTTTGAGTCCATCTTGCTGCCCAAATCGTGGATGCAAGAGTGCTATAAATTGTTAGGTGCTGATTCTTATCAGAGTATGAGGATTTCTCTTTTTTGCTACATTTGTTGTGTGCTGCATATGGGCATGAGCTCTACATGTATTTTGTTCTATGATATTCCATCTTTACAGGGGTGCTTGTCATGTATTTTTGTAATCAATGTGGTGACTAGCACAAGCATGCAAAGTAGCCTTCGTGATATTGCTGATTTCAGGGACTTAGGATTTTGCTAAGTCCTTGTTCTGCTGTTATTTTTATGCCATGTAAACTAGATGCTACAGTGAGATCCATGCTTGTTTTGAGCATCTTCGGTAAGGGTGTTTTGGACATATGGTTATGCTCTATCCATCCATGCCCCTGTTTTCAATTATGGAGTGCCCTAGCATGTCTTAATCTTGCTCTACTTTTGCTATAAAATGTTCCTGATAGATTGTTTACATGTTAATCAATTTTGCGATGGTTGTTGTAGTTGATCCATGCATTCTATAAACTTGTTCTTGCCATGGTTCGCTTCATGAAAATGTCTTATTGATGATGCTATGCTTCTTTTGTCATGCAATGTCTTGTGATGAGTAAATCGAGCTCGCAAAGATGCCTTCGTAATTCTGTTTATGCCATGCTCTGTTTTCTGCTAAGTCTGAATCTGTTAATAAAACTTGCTATGTTTACATGGGTGCCATCATATCTTCTGTGCCTTTTTGGCTCATGGTCATTAAGGGACTTTTGATCTATGCATTTAGTAGTTTCTTGCCATGCCTTTGTTTGCTATGATCTGTTCCTATAGCATGTTGTTTGCTTGCTCTAAACCTGGCTTCCTGATGTTAATTTCTGGCATGTTAATTTCCGGCATGTTAATTTTTTCACTAAGTCTGTGAAGCTGATATCTTTTGCACTTTTGCCATGCTTGTTTGAACCTGTTCTTTTGTGATTTAGCCATATCTCAGAGTTCATGTTTTGCCAAGCATCTTGAGTAGATCACTTCCATATGCTTTGTTGCTATGTTGGAGTGCAGTAGCTTAGTTTCTTGTTGCATTCTAGATGGCATCATGCTATTAATCGCAGAATTGTGCCATTCTTGTTTTGCTTGCCATTTGCAAACCGTGCATCCGATTCCGGTGATCTTTATATCGATTTCGACCGAAATCATCTCATCTTTTCAGAAGCACACTTGGTTTTCCAAGTTGATGCCTTGTTCATCCTTTTCCTA